CAATGTGTATGTATGTCTGTATGTATGTATGTCAATGTATGTATGTCAGTATGTATGTATGTCAGTATGTATGTATGTCAGTATGTATGTATGTCAGTATGTATGTATGTCAGTATGTATGTATGTCAGTATGTATGTATGTCAGTATGTATGTATGTCAGTATGTATGTATGTCAGTATGTATGTATGTCAGTATGTATGTATGTCAGTATGTATGTATGTCAGTATGTATGTAAGTCAGTATGTATGTATGTCAGTATGTATGTATGTCAGTATGTATGTATGTCAATGTACGTATGTCAATGTACGTATGTCAATGTACGTATGTCAATGTACGTATGTCAATGTACGTATGTCAATGTACGTATGCCAATGTACGTATGTCAATGTGTACGTATGTCAATGTATGTATGTCAATGTATGTATGTCAATGTATGTATGTCATGTGTGTGTATGTCAATGTATGTCAATGTGTGTGTATGTCAATGTGTGTGTATGTCAATGTATGTATGTCAATGTATGTGTCAATGTGTGTGTATGTCAATGTGTATGTATGTCAATGTGTATGTATGTCAATGAGTATGTATGTCAATGTGTATGTATGTCAATGTGTGTGTATGTCAATGTGTATGTATGTCAATGTGTATGTATGTCAATGAGTATGTATGTCAATGTGTATGTATGTCAATGTGTATGTATGTCAATGTGTATGTATGTATGTATGTGTGTATGTATGTATGTATGTGTGTATGTAGGTATGTATGTATGTCAATGTGTATGTATGTCAATGTGTATGTATGAGTGTGTATGTATGTGTGTGTATGTCTGTATGTGTGTATGTATGTATGTGAGTATGTATGTATGTCAGTATGTATGTATGTCAGTATGTATGTATGTCAGTATGTATGTATGTCAGTATGTATGTATGTCAGTATGTATGTATGTATGTATGTCAGTATGTATGTCAATGTATGTCAATGTATGTCAATGTATGTATGTATGTATGTATGTCAATGTGTATGTATGTCAGTATGTATGTATCTCAGTATGTATGTAAGACAGTATGTATGTATGTCAGTATGTACGTATGTCAATGTACGTATGTCAATGTACGTATGTCAATGTACGTATGTCAATGTACGTGTGTCAATGCACGTATGTCAATGTATGTATGTCAATGTATGTATGTCAATGTATGTATGTCAATGTATGTATGTCAATGTATGTATGTCAATGTATGTATGTCAATGTATGTATGTATGTCAGTATGTATGTAAGTCAGTATGTATGTATGTCAGTATGTATGTATGTCAATGTACGTATGTCAATGTACGTGTGTCAATGTACGTATGTCAATGTACGTATGTCAATGTACGTATGTCAATGTACGTATGTCAATGCACGTATGTCAATGCACGTATGTCAATGTATGTATGTCAATGTATGTATGTCAATGTATGTATGTCAATGTATGTATGTCAATGTGTATGTATGTCAATGTGTATGTATGTCAATGTGTGTGTATGTCAATGTGTATGTATGTCAATGTGTATGTATGTCAATGAGTATGTATGTCAATGTGTATGTATGTCAATGTGTATGTATGTCAATGTGTATGTATGTATGTATGTATGTGTGTATGTATGTATGTATGTGTGTATGTAGGTATGTATGTATGTCAATGTGTATGTATGTCAATGTGTATGTATGAGTGTGTATGTATGTGTGTGTATGTCTGTATGTGTGTATGTATGTATGTGAGTATGTATGTATGTCAGTATGTATGTATGTCAGTATGTATGTATGTCAGTATGTATGTATGTCAGTATGTATGTATGTCAGTATGTATGTATGTATGTATGTATGTCAATGTACGTATGTCAATGTACGTATGTCAATGTACGTATGTCAATGGACGTATGTCAATGTACGTATGTCAATGTACGTGTGTCAATGCACGTATGTCAATGTATGTATGTCAATGTATGTATGTCAATGTGTATGTATGTCAATGTGTGTGTATGTCAGTGTGTATGTATGTCAATGTGTATGTATGTCAATGTATGCATGTCAATGTATGTATGTCAATGCACGTATGTCAATGTATGTATGTCAATGTCTATGTATGTCAATGTGTATGTATGTCAATGTGTATGTATGTCAATGTGTATGTATGTCAATGTGTGTGTATGTATGTATGTGTGTGTATGTATGTATGTGTGTATGTATGTATGTATGTATGTCAATGTATGTATGTCAATGTATGTATGTCAATGTGTATGTATGTCAGTGTGTATGTATGTCAATGTGTATGTATGTCAATGTGTATGTATGTCAATGTGTATGTATGTCAATGTGTGTGTATGTCAGTGTGTATGTATGTCAATGTGTATGTATGTCAATGTGTATGTATGTCAATGTGTATGTATGTCAATGTGTGTGTGTATGTATGCATGTGTGTGGATGTATGTATGTATGTATGTGTATGTATGTATGTATGTATGTGTGTGTATGTGTGTGTGTCTGTGTCTGTGTGTGTCTATGTCTGTGTGTGTCTATGTCTGTGTGTGTCTATGCCTGTGTGTGTCTATGTCTGTGTGTGTGTCTATGTCTGTGCGCGTGTGAACCATCTGTAAAGATGTAAAACTTCTAACTTAGCAGGGGGGCAGTGCACGACTGACAGACACTGCCCAACGAAGACACTGTCAGTTCGTGGTGATACAGAGCCTGATCAGCTCTGCGTACCTGCATCAATTTTCATTTCTCTGAATGGCAACCGGCTAAGCCAAGTACCGGCATGTCGTTGTTTCCAACAGTTTTCAATCCACTGTACGGTTTTCGCATTCTGAATTACTGCCGACTTCGTCAGATGGAATAGTTGCATCTAGCAAGGACGTAGAAAGAATTCTTCTACACTGTTTCTCAAGCCTAGTCATTCACCAATTCCTGTCAGGTTCAATTGAGGTGTTTTTGCACGTTCGATGCGTTCTACATCAGAAATTCGATAAGATGTTTCTGAGCAAGTGTGTGTCTTCGTCAGACGGAATAGGTGCTTCTAGCAAGGACGTAGAAAGAATTCTTCTTCACTGTTTATCTCGCCTAGTCATTCACTATTTCCTGTCAGGTTTAACTGAAGTGTTTTTGCACATGCGATGCATTCAACATCAGAAATTCGATAAGATGTTTCTGAGCAAGTGTGTCTCTCCTGCTGCATACGTCAAGTTGGCAGGAACCCTTCGGGGAAAGCCTTTCTAGGCTAACAATGGACAGTAAAACGATGTCTGAATTTACACTTTTGAATTAGTAATTCGTCTAAGTAAAGTGAACTGCTGGCCTTTTTTCGATTCTCACCTGTCGATGTCGTTGTGTTGAACAACTGGCCGCCGTGCCTGGCTTCACCTTTCTTTTGTCTGAATTGACACTTTTGGATTGGTAATTCGTCTAAGTAAAGTGAAACTGTCGGCCTTTTTTCCAGGTCTCACCTGTCGACGTCGATGTGTTGAACAACGTGCCGCTGTGCCTGGCTTCACCTTTTCTTTCATGATCAGGCAACAGGACATGCTTTGCAGGTATGGTCACTTTCTTTTTTGGTTTCTCGGTGAGGTTGAAATTGTGCACCTAATTCAGGGGTTGAACACGTAAGCCGTCCAGAGGGTTGTGACTTGAATGCCGAGGGCCTTTGAGCCTTATCACGAATTCTGCATGCGTTGTGGATGCATCATTTCATTAACTAGTTCCCCATGGGTCCCTTTTTTCATGTGTTCCTGCGTTCTCCTCTCTCCAGGTAGGTTTGGCCCGTTGCGTGCTGAGGTTGATGTAGGTTTTCGCCGTGTCAGGTTGGTTCAGGCGCTTCTGTCTTCCCCCTCCTCCGCTGGTCTTGTTCCGGTTTCCGTCGGCCTCCGCTTTTCTTTTCATTTCTTTTCCCTTGCCTTTCCAGGGTTGCCCGTTGCGGGCTAGGTTTCATGTGTTGGTGCTTTCTCTTTCCCTCTTCTTTTGCGTTCCCCTCTTTGCGTCCTGGTTAAGTAACTTTCATCTCATTGTCATCTTCACCTCATCTTCATTTCCCATCCTCTTCATTTTCATCTCATTGTCGGGACCTTAATTTCCCACCCTCCTGCGGGAGGGTGTGTGTGTGTGAACCATCTGTAAAGATGTAAAACTTCTAACTTAGCAGGGGGGCAGTGCACGACTGACAGACACTGCCCAACGAAGACACTGTCAGTTCGTGGTGATACAGAGCCTGATCAGCTCTGCGTACCTGCATCAATTTTCATTTCTCTGAATGGCAACCGGCTAAGCCGAGTACCGGCATGTCGTTGTTTCCAACAGTTTTCAATCCACTGTACGGTTTTCGCATTCTGAATTACTGCCGACTTCGTCAGATGGAATAGTTGCATCTAGCAAGGACGTAGAAAGAATTCTTCTACACTGTTTCTCAAGCCTAGTCATTCACCAATTCCTGTCAGGTTCAATTGAGGTGTTTTTGCACGTTCGATGCATTCTACATCAGAAATTCGATAAGATGTTTCTGAGCAAGTGTGCGTCTTCGTCAGACGGAATAGGTGCTTCTAGCAAGGACGTAGAAAGAATTCTTCTTCACTGTTTATCTCGCCTAGTCATTCACTATTTCCTGTCAGGTTTAACTGAAGTGTTTTTGCACATGCGATGCATTCCACATCAGAAATTCGATAAGATGTTTCTGAGCAAGTGTGTGTGCGTATGATCATGTATACTGTTTGTTTCCATTGCATGACATCCCGTGATGTTGTGCATGCAGCTGTTTGGACAGAGAGACATGAATCGCAAGCAAGGATTTCATTTCCTTTGATGTAGTGCGACAGCAATGTTGGACCCCCAACTGAGCTGAGGGGACTTGGACAGACTCCGTGAATCAAATCAGCACCCACGTGAGGCGTATGAATCATGACGTGAGAAAGCGAACCAATACACGTTATAACATGTTATAACTTGTTGGAACTTCCCACGGTTTTAGCGCAGTCCTGTATTGCCCAAACGATGCGCCCAAAGTGCTCGTCACTCAAGGCTTGAAGCGACAGTTGTTCCTGGCGCAGATTTGGAGTTGCCCTGAGAAACAACTCGTTGCTAAACGGTTGCCAAGGTCACCCAAGCCAGGTCAATCTCTCAAATACGAACATGTCCTGCGCAAAGTGTTTGAAGACATGCTTCCATAACCTGATGATTGATAAACCTGAGTGTATTTCAGCACACTTGCAATCACTTGCAATCACTTGCAGTCACTTGCAGTCACTTGCAACCGCTTGCAATCGCCTGCACACCAATAAATCCGCATGAAGCAAGAAATAATGCGATTTCTGAGGCTGTTGAGGCTTGGCTCCAAGCGTAAGGTCAAGGAACCTGTCTTGAATTCAGCCAGAGATGCTCCTGATAAAAAAGAAAAACAAAAACGACCCACAAATCAAGGATCAAAGGATCAGGCAAAGATGCGAATCAAGCTCAAGAAACCAAGCGTCCTGTGAATGCGGCCAGCTCCCCTTCTGGTGGCTCCAAATCACCTGCATTTTGTGGGTGGGAGGGGACAGCTCCCCACATCTCATCGCTTCCCATGCCTTCATCTTCAATCTCTCGCCGACATTGCCTAAGCGTTCCAGGGTGGGTCTAGTCTAATATGTGCAATGCAAAGGTCTTTAGCGCTTTGAAATCACGAACAAGTGCAAGCGACTGTGAAGAAAGAGTCTAGCTTAAGGATGCTAAGATGTTACCAGTTTGTCAACTTACTGGGACCCTCAGCTGATTTTTAGCGGCTAGGGACTCACTTTGCACACCGCCACATTGACGACTCACTTTGCACACCGGCAACAAACTCACTTGGAGCACCAGCCATGTTTACTTTGGGTTTATACTTAGGGGGAGGGGGTTGGGAGGGGGTGACCACCCATGTTGAGACTTCAGGTTTATAATTAGGGGGAGGGAGTTGGGGTGGGGAAGAGTCGGAAAGGTGGCTTCTCGCAGCCCTTTGGGCTGGTCGTTTCATTGGAATCTCAGAAATGGTAGATGACGGTGATTATGGTAATGCACCTCATATTGCGAATCCTTCTAGCGAGACATTTCGCGGCGCGTGAAGCGAGAAAACTCCCTGTGCGCACAGCGAGGTGCCGCCCTCTTCAGCAGAGTTGAGATGAACTGGGTGGCGTGCTGCAGTGCTGTCGCCCAAAAGTCCAGTGTGGAACTTAGGAGCTCTTCGGCAGGACTTGAGCCCTGCGCTCGATGCAACGAGCATAAAACTTATCATCAACAGCTCGACAGAAAGTGCGGTAAGAGATCCAAGAAATATACGCCACTGCTTAAAACAATTTTCATACACGTTTCAATTCTCTGGCGGTGACATGCTGAAACTATGTAATATGACTGTCACATGATAACAATGTAGTCACGCCATGTGGCTCCGTTCTTGCAGCCTTTTCAGACACTGAAGTCGCTGGTGCTCTACATGATCTGCACTAAAGCGCCACTCGTATCTTGTGCCTTCCCTCTGTGGATTTTCGGAGGAGCCTGCCCCGGTTCCTTAGTTTTCACAACAGGTCGCTATGCCTGTCATGACTCCAGAGTTTCAAAATGTTCCAAGAATGGCAATTGATTGCAATTCACTGAGAAGCGGTCTCTCTCCTCTTGTTCAACTTCTTGTTGCAACTGATCAACATACAATGCCGCCTCATGTTCGGCCGTCGGACGAACAGGTCCAGTGCTTTTACACAGAGATATACATACAGTAGCAAGCCAGATCAGAATTGTGACATGTGTGCCATACATTGCCATAATTTGCCAATTCATCATGTGCCTGACTTCGACGATTTAACTTCAGCACAGCTCTGAGGCCGTCTCCTCTTTGTAGTGCCTTTCTGCATCTGCCAAGGGTGGCCATAGTCTGGTTGCTGCAGTCACCTCTCTGAGCAAATTCGTGCATACTAATAACAAGCACCGTAGCCAAATGAAAAGAAACACATGAGACAAAATGCTCCGCCCTCAACACCTCTAAATAGGCTTGCGCAACAGCAGCGCCTGAGTAACAGGAAAAAAGGATAAGGAAGGTACAGTAAGTGATATTCCTATATTGATATTCTTAGATATTCTTAGAACGACCTGCTTAGAATTTAGAACGACCTGCATGACATGGCTGAGTTCGTAGCGTTCTGCCAGCGGGCCTGAATCAACATGAACCAACTCAAACAGACTTCAACGCAAGAGCCCAAGAGAGAGGTCGGGCGACATTGATGTTGTGGGCAATCACCAAAGACAAGTCATGACAAGTCCCAGCCCTGAACTCCTACTGGCCATTGCTGACCCGAGCCTTTCGAGCAAAAGCTCAGAATCAAGGAGATGCCAGTCACATCTTCATTGACTCCAGCTGCTTCCTTTACCGAGTGGCGGTACTATCAGTCAAAGTATTCTGGCTCCCTGCACAAAAAAAAGTAAATGGACACCCCGAAACTCTGCACTCGTATGCACAGCTGAGCACATGAACAGAACTCGCATCTCAAGTTTCTCAAAGAGTTCTTTTCGTCTCTTGGATGCTGTCCAGCTAGTGTACCAGTTCGTCTCCTACCTTGTCCCTCTTAAGATGGTGGTATGAAAAGTCTTTACGGCAAAGAGATGCGAAGAGTACCAAATTTTCTTGCCAAACGCTTGACTGGGGTCTATGTCTACGTCTATGTCTATGTGCGTGTGTGAGTGCCAAGTCCATGGTAGGAACAAAGAGTCCTTGACAGTAATCCCTTGTATTGCACTTGTGGGATTCTCGCTTGCCCGTCAGTCTTGGATGGCGCAACACACATGCAACGCGCTTTAAGGCTCCACCCTGATGATCAGTTTTGTAAATCAGTGTCAGTGTGAAAAAATGATCAAGGACGTGCTTCCAAGGTCCAACCCATTAAGAGACTTGTAAACAATGAAATGGTGCCCAAACGGCCAAACGGCCAAGATGCAGTTTATCAGAGGGTTCAGATTAGCCGCTGGGTGTTGATAAGTGTATACTCATGACATCCTCATTTGTTCGTTGGAAGGTGTGTTTTTTCCCTGTGAAATCATTCCATCTAGCAATGCGCCATTGGAAAGGCAATTAATCGCAGTCTACGCGACTGTGCTTGCGAACCTCACCCCTCTTTCGTCGATAGCTGACAGCAGCAAGGTCGGCAAGCGCCCGAACCTTCGGAATCTAGAGCGGACCAATCGAAGATGAAAAGAAGACTAGAATGCCAAATATGCCAAGACATGTTGGATCATGTTGTTCATGTTTATGTAAACTTGAAATATCTTGAAATCTTGAGGATTCTTAAGGATGCAATTTGATTTAGAATTCCAACAAATCCGACATTCAACTGAGATAAACTATCCAATTGATCAGACCCATCCAACTCCACACCAGATTTCCGGAGCCATCAAAGGTTGGAAGTGTCTGCACGGCTGCCTGAGAAATCAGAGAATGTGATAGAATGTGCTCATTTCAACATCACGCGAACATAAACAAAATGTTCAAGGGCAGTGGACGACAAAAATTACGAGCAACATGGGTTGCCATGCAGAGCTTCAAACATCACATGGGAGGAAAGCAAAAGCATTTCAGTAAGGGATCAGGGAAGGATGAGCCTTTGAAAGTTTCTTCCACGGATAAGATTAAATCCTCTGATGGGGTTTTCCCCTGTCCGATCAAACCAATTCTCTCCTTTCATGCATTGCTCAAACAAGCAACTCAAAGGAAATCATCATGGCCTTCAAGCTTGCAAGAAGACATTGAATGCTGCTGTCCTGTGATCGAAGTCTTCGAATGAAAATGACCAAAAAAATATGTTTTTATTTAAAGATGTTGATTCATAATGTCATACTATATACCAGTAGTGCCCGCACGAGGCGGGGCGGAGGTTGCCTTAAAGATATATATAAGACCTTTCTCATCTATAGAACTTGCATGCGCCATGCGCCAGCCAAGCCCGTGCGTGCGTGCACTCTGCGAAACTGGTGTCTTGTTTCACATGTCACATTTGAAGCTCCACTTCACACTTCACACTTGACAGTCTTCACACTCCACGCTACACACTTCACACTGCACTTCCACACTCTTCACACTTCACACTGCACTCTTCGCACTCCACACTTCACACTTCACACTGCGCACTTCACAGTCCAGACTTCACACTGAACTCTTCGCACTCCAAACGTCACACTTCACAGTCCACACTTCACACTTCACACTGCACTCTTCTTGCCCCACACTTCACGCTGCGCCCTTCATCTCATCTGAGCTCTTCTCACCTTATCCCAGCTCAGCTCTTCTCATCTCATCTCTTCTCATATGTCATCTAAGCTTTCATGAATCACTTCCCACTACTACTGCAAAGGAACTTGCATGCGCAGTGCGCCAGCCAGGCCTGTGCGTGCGTGCTTTTTGCGAAGCTGTTGCAATGTTGTTGTCCAAAAACATGACCTGCGTCGTTGTTGGAAAATTGCCAGCGCCAAAGTTGAGAAAATCTGCTGACAAATCACTATCGCAGCCTGGATGCAGCCATTCCAATACGAATTACGCTGTTCAGCTGCAAAAGACAATAGTATTGCGCATGCAGCGGCGGCACCGAGCAACCTTGACGCAGCCACTACAATGCGATCTGCAGAGACTGAGTTGCAAAGCACAATAGAACTACGCGCAACGGCGTCGGAAATTGCAGCTTCAAAACCGGATCTCGACGCCAAAGCGGAAAAAAGACGATTTTGAAGCATTTTTTAAAAAGATTTTAGGAAGGAAAATTACTAGCGCCAAAGTTGAGAAAATCTGCTGCCAAATCACTATCGCAGCCTGGATTTTTCCATTCCAATACGAATTACGCTGTTCAACTGCAAAAGACAATAGTATTACGCATGCAGCGGCGGCACCGAGCAACCTTGTCGCACCCACTACAATGCGATCTGCAGAGACTGAGTTGCAAAACACAATAGAACTACGCGCAACGGAGTCGCAAATTGCAGCTCCAAAACCGGATCTCGACGCCAAAGCAGAAAAAAGACGATTTTGAAGCATTTTTTACAATGATGTTTAAAAGGAAAATTACTAGCGCCAAAATTGAGAAAATCTGCTGACAAATCACTGTGGCAGCCTGGATGCAGCCACTCCAATACGATTTACGATCTTCAGCTGCAAAAGACAATAGTATTACGCATGCAGCCGCGGCACCGAGCAACCTTGACGCAGCCATCGCAATGCGATCTGCAGAGACTGAGTTGCAAAACACAATAGAACTACGCGCAACGGAGTCGCAAATTGCAGCTCCAAAACCGGATCTCGACGCCAAAGCAGAAAAAAGACGATTTTGAAGCATTTTTTACAATGATGTTTAAAAGGAAAATTACTAGCGCCAAAATTGAGAAAATCTGCTGACAAATCACTGTGGCAACCTGGATGCAGCCACTCCAATACGATTTACGATCTTCAGCTGCAAAAGACAATAGTATTACGCATGCAGCCGCGGCGCCGAGCAACCTTGACGCAGCCATTACAATGCGTTTCGCAGCATCCCGTAGCAAACCTGCACCTATCTACGCACGTGGCAACATCAAAGGACGACAATGAAGCAGCCATTCCAATGCAATCTGCAACCAGAGATTCAAGAACCGCATGGAACTACGCACACAGGAACAACCACTCGTTGCAAAACACATAGGAGGAACAATTCGCGCACAAAACGACTGCAGCCGCAACCGCCGCACAGACGAGGTACCTTTCATCGCCGGCTGCAACCACTTTACACGGAAGAACACAAGGTTTCGTGCTCCGGCTTCCTCCCCAAGACATAGCCCATGCAACATTCATGCAGCCATGACAATGCGTTTCGCAGCATCCCGTAGCAAACCTGCACCTATCTACGCACGTGGCAACATCAAATGACGACAATGAAGCAGCCATTCCAATGCAATCTGCAACTAGAGATTCAAGAACCGCATGGAACTACGCACACAGACACAACCACTCGTTGCAAAACACATAGGAGGAACAATTCGCGCACAAAACGACCGCAGCCGCACCCGTCGCACACACGAGGTACCTTTCATCGTCGGCTGCAGCCACTTTACACGGAAAAACACAAGGTTTGGTGCTCCGGCTTCCTCCCCAAAACATAGCCCATGCAACATTCATGCAGCCATTACAATGCGTTTCGCAGCATCCCGTAGCAAACCTAAACCTATCTACGCACGTGGCAACATCAAATGACGACAATGAAGCAGCCATTCCAATGCAATCTGCAACCAGAGATTCAAGAACCGCATAGAACTACGCACACAGACACAACCACTCGTTGCAAAACACATATAGGAGGAACAATTCGCGCACAAAACGACCCCAGCCGCACCCGTCGCACAGACGAGGTACCTTTCATCGTCGGCTGCAGCCACTTTACACGGAAAAACACAAGGTTTGGTGCTCCGGCTTCCTCCCCAAAACATAGCCCATGCAACCCTCATGCAGCCATTACAATGCGTTTCGCAGCATCCCGTGGCAAACCCGCACCTATCTACACACGTGGCAACATCAAATGACGACAATGAAGCAGCCATTCCAATGCAATCTGCAACCAGAGATTCAAGAACCGCATAGAACTACGCACACAGGAACAACCACTCGTTGCAAAACACATAGGAGGAACAATTCGCGCACAAAACGACCGCAGCCGCAACCGCCGCACAGACGAGGTACCTTTCATCGCCGGCTGCAGCCACTTTACACGGAAAAACACAAGGTTTCGTGCTCCGGCTTCCTCCCCAACTCACCACTTGCCTTCGTCACAGCTTCCCTTCCTCACCACTTCCCATCGTCACCACCTCACTTCGTCACCACTTCCCTTCCTCACCATCGTCCCCACCTGCCTTCCTCACCACTCGCCTTCATCATCACTTCCCTCCGTCACCACTTCCCTTCCTCACCACTTCCCATCGTCACCACTTCCCTTCCTAACCACTTCCCGTCATCACCACTTCCCTTCCTCACCACTTCCCTCCGTCACCACTTCCCTCCGTCACCACTTCCCTCCGTCACCACTTCCCTTCGTCACCACTTCCCTTCGTCACCACTTCCCTTCGTCACCACTTCCCTTCGTCACCACTTCCCATCGTCACCACTTCCCTTCGTCACCACTTCCCATCGTCACCACTTCCCTTCGTCACCACTTCCCTTCGTCACCACTTCCCTTTGTCACCACTTCCCTTCGTCACCACTTCCCTTCGTCACCACCCTGTCATTGTCAGCACCCTTCATCAAGGTCAATTCCACCGCTTCTTTATCTTTTGTTATGTATTGTTATGTTATGTATTGTTATACGATCTACCGCCCTTCATCATTTCAAGTCTCAGAATTCTATTTGTCCGTAACACGGAAGTATTGCTTCCCAACTTCCTTTGATTATATATATATACTTGTCAATTTATTATAACTTATAACATTATATATAGTATATGTATAATTTCACGCCGCTTGTGGGCAGCCCTCTGAAAGCTGCAAAGTCAAGTCATAGTATTATATGTGTATCATGTAACATACATTACATAAGTAATCATAAGTAGTATACATACCTGGACCCTCAAGTGGTACATAAATTTATGCTCGAGGGAAATGCTCAAAAAAACGCTCGAACTGCAAAAAGCGTGTGTTAGATTCAAAGGTTGTTCGATATGCAAAAAATTGTTCGGAATGTTCTGAAGATATCCAAACATCACTTGTTACGCCACAAACCAGCAGCCCGCTTTGCCGTGGACAAAAATGTTCTTTGAGGTATAGTCAAATAGTGACAGGCTTGAAGTAATCAACAAAACAAAGGGGTCACCAAACATTGGTGACATCAAAATACGTGAGCCAAAAAGCCCTCATGCTCAGAATAATCGCAGAATTGAAAAAAGGGCAGATCTGAAAACGACGAAAGTGGTACTGTACCTTTTTTTAATTTGCGCTCGTTTGCGCCGGTTTTGCGCGAATTTGCGCTCGTTTTGCTCGCACTCCAGCCTCGTTTTTTGAAAAATGCTCGATTTGCAATGACAAATGGCACCACCAACTGAAAATTAGCGCTTCGCAGTCAGCATTTATAACGAACTACCCCATGGTGTTTCGCGTTCAGTCCGATCCAGCTACGTATGAGTGCGCAAGAAACACACACTAGGGATCACTAGGGGCAGATCTTGAGACCAGAGGGGAAATGGAACCCATGCGGCCCACAGGGGGCAAAAAATGCTCAAGTTTCAAAACAACGCTCGAATAGCAAGAACTCAATCAAATTAAAATTTTGCGCTCGTTGCGCCGAATGTGGATGGGACGTAAATTTAAGTACCAATTGAGGGTCCAGGTATATAAGTGTAATTTAAGTGCATAATGTAACAAAGATGTCGAGAGATGTCGGGCATCAAGACGTCCTCAGCGAAGCACGGACGTGGATCAACCTGGCAAGAGGACAGCATGGTTAGACTGTTAGACTCTCCAAGTGACGCCATCAGCCTGCACCAACCACCAAAACCACCACCAGGAGTGGTATCACCGCCACTGTGTGCATTTTAGCGAGGAAATCACACTTGTTATCAAAATGACTACGCCTCAGAATTGAACGCATGTTGATAGTCCCTATGACGCTGTTATCATTCATAATCTGCCAACAATATCTGCTTTACAAGTGTTGCTCCTTATATATAATTCCTATTAATTCCTTATATATACATCTCCTTACCACTAAACTACTGCTGATGTCATGCCTTCTCTAGCTGTGCTGCCAAACCAGAGACAGCCTTTGCAGCACTGACCTGCAGTGGGTTCTTTCAGTTCTTCCTCACAATTTCCTGTGACAAACCATTCTGAACATATTCATGACAGACATGACTTGACAGACAAAAACAAAAAAAACAAGCTGTGGGATGCAAAGACCGGCAATGCCTTGTCAGCGCGAGAGACCTAAGCATCACACGCAGTATGATTGGAAGCAATGTTGAACGATTCGTTGAACGATTCGTTGAATGATTCGTTGAACGATTCGTTGAATGATGTTAAACATAGAAAACTGATCAAAACTGGCAGATCTCGTTTGGTCACCTCTCCGGCGGATTGCCCTCACTTGCACATGTTCAGCAAGCAGAAATAGGCAGAATATTGAAGTGAAAAAGCCGCCAGAACACGTAAATGCGTTGGCATAATAATGTATCAAAAAAACGTGTTTTTTGGGGTTTGGACTCTGAACGAGTTTCAGACACTTTCTGCAAATGCATCTGCCAGCTCAGCACAAATGGCACTGCGATAACGCTGAACTCCGCCAGCAGTTGTGGGACAAAGCCTCAGCAGTTCGGTCGCGAAAAACACAAGCTCCAACGGCTCCAACACACTCTTCCCACGATCTTCCCATCATCATTTTCATTCATTTTCATTCATTTTCATTCATTTTCATCATTTCCAGATCACAATCTTGGACAATTTTTCTTGTGAAAGGCCAAGTCTGAGTCGACTGAAACTGGACAACTGTCTACAAATGTCTACAGATGTCTACAGTAGCAGCAAGGAGTGTGCAACTTGAAATTGAAACTGCTGAGACCAGAGAAAGGATAATATCCTTTTGAAATCCTTTGGTTTCTCTCAGCGCATGCCAGCTCATGATGTAACAACCAAGGGCCTGCGCATGTTCAGAATACCAAACTTCCAGATTCAACATTTCCATGCAATGTGTCCTTCCGGCAATTGAAATTCAATGTTGAGAACATGAGACTCAAACAATAAAGTGTGAGCTGTTTGGGTATTCTCTGAGGAGTTCTTGTAGGCTTCAATGTTCATATTGATCATCATTGTTACATACATTTACATACTATGCTTATCAAATTAGTACACAATTGGGGGCTCCATCAGTAGATTGACTGAAACAGTAGTGCATTCTTTCAAATAGCTTGATCATCTAGCCAAAATTCTGCTTTGGTACAGGGGCTGACCGCTGTTGGCTTTTGAATGCTGCTTTAATGTCAGTTCAATAAAGTGTATTGTTTCTTCTGGATGTTTCCTGCACGGCTTCATGAAAATGACTCGTGCATGATGGCTACGAATCCAAGTGGCCTAACATTCCAAAATCTACAGGAGACGTAGATGTCATGAACATTACTTTAAATACGACATACGATGGATTACGGTGCAGCAAATAAGGATGTAGGTTGCCGCAGCTCTCATTGATCTGTGTCACTGCTAAGTCGCTTTGCTTGTCCTTATAATTCTGCCCACTTGCCTTTACTTTCAGATCAGATTCACTACAACCAGGTTCCAACACAAAAAAAGAAATGGAGCATGCTGCAGCCATTTCTTTCTCCAGTCCCACTACTACATTGACAAGCGCACGACATTGTCTCGCACATCCCCACATTTGCCAATAAAGGGATGTGCGGACTGCCTGCAACACTTTGTGTTGCCCATCTTGCCATGCAAAATATGTCCTTGCTTTTGCTACATTTGGAACTGGGTGTCCGAAATTCAGACTTTCCCTTCTTGCAGGATTTCGCATTCTGCCAAACAAGTGCTTTGGCACAAGTTCACTAAATACTGACCGTGAAAACCACTCAACGTGCAAGCAAAAAGGTGCTACAGTCAAAAGGGTTGCGACTACGGTTTGGACTGGTTCGGATTGAACGATTTGAACATCCTTTTCCAAGTTCTTGTCCTAGCATGGCACCGGCCTTGCTTGCAACGATCAACGGCAACTTGACATCTTGGCAGGCTTGGCATGCCCAAAATCGAACTGTTGCTCCTTCCTTCAAGTAGTTGCTATCTTCTATTCAGCGGTTATGTAGTATGTTCCTACAAGGCATGACTGTGCATAATTGGCGATGACTTTTCTTCAGTGGGTATCTATAGTTTCCCCATATTTGATATGCCGATGGCTCCGTTTGATTTGCGAAAAGATCGAACAAATATGATGAAGTCCGCGCATACTTGCCCACCTACAGGCCCTCTTGAGATGCCAAGCCATTAAATCGTTGACACCGTTCCTCTATCTTCCTCTCATAATCGCAGTACCTCCGCGGGTACTACAGCTGGACATGCCATTGGACTCAACTATATAACTATTACATCTACTGTTTATCACATCTAATATCTACAACACTGCTCCATGTACACGTCTTCCTTTCTTAATCATATAGACGCCTCTGGAGGCTTGTTTTATCTTTGACGCAACAAGAATGATGAGTAGGGACCGACAGCGCCTGATGGCAATTCTGGCGCACCGATTTGCTAGCTGGTACCTGCTGGACTCACCGCTGAGTCATGTCAGGATAGTCAATGCCATCTGCCACCTGGACGAGACCAGGCTTTTCAAGTTTCAAATCAACCACGGCAAGGAGGGCAAGTCTCGGGGTCTGACAAAGGAGTGAAATTGGGTCTGAATTAGACAAGTTTTAAGGTAGACTAGACAGCTTAGACAAAGAAAATCAAAGAAGGCTTTAGTAAACGCCCTAGCCTCAGTGGAAATCACGTCCACTGCTTATACAGGTTCTCGCGGTTCCACATTCAACACATTAGCCAATGAATTTTGTAGGATTCTTTGTGCAACAAAGCCTTTCCCTTTCACAAATGCGTTTGATCATGTCGAGTCAAGGCTCACCAAAACAAAGCCACGAATCTATGGTGACTGGATGTGACTGGTGAAGTTTAAAGTTGGTGGAAAGCAGTGACCTGAAAATCCTGAAATCTCAAATAGATTCAAATAGGTATTGTTCCGTCATTGTTCAACCGTGCATGGACAGTTGGTTGGCCTTCAGTCAGCAAGGTGCATTTCATCCATGCAAGAGAAAGCATCAGTGCTTGGGGGTATTCATGGCTCGTGCAAGCAGGCATAGTGCACAGAATTGAAACGACTGTAAACGCAAATTGGCGCACTTTAAGCCTGCTACAGTCATGCTTGAATTGTTTGTCTGCCACAGACTCTTCCATACGGGGACAAATTTTGATCGAAGCTTTTGTTCTTGGAGGATTTGAAACAGAATGGCAGAATCTACGTAGAATGCCGCCCAAAGGATTGATTTGCCATTTCACCTCTACCGTGTCAGCCTGTGAGTGAAGTCCAGAGTGTGAGACATGATACAATATGCTACAACATGATACAATACGCTACAATATGCAAGTCGATGCAAGTTCAAACTGGGCTAGGGCAAATACGATTCAAATACGATTCAAAAAATCAAGTACGATTCAAATACGATTCAAATAATTCAAGGCAAAACAACCTGCCAAGTCTTGGGCACAATGGTAAAGCGAAGATAGGTGATGGTAATGGTCAATGAGGGATAAGTACGAATATGTGATGTTTCTTCAGCAGGGAAAACACAAAAAACACTAGTTCTGCAAGGTGTTCAATAGAGATTTTGATGGCCCCACCAGCTTCATAATGACTCTCGTTTGGCTTCTTTAGGTTCATTGGATGAACAATGAAGCCGCAGGCTCCACAAGGCCACCAATCTTGCAGTATTGATTGCCACTCAAATGGGCCACTGCCGTTCTATATAATAGTGCGCCTAGTCTTGCACATTCCTAGAGAGGCATGTGTCTCTGCGAAGGGACGTAATAGCTAAATGTGAAGATGTTTTGTAGAAGGTGAACAAGCAAAAGATAGATGATCATGCTGTATATATATATATATATGCCATCGGTTCCAACAGCAAATTACTATAGATAGTAGACATCACGGAGATGGCTATCTGTCGGCTCAATGTGATCTTTCACCCCAAGATTTCTTAGCTTGAAGAGACGCTATGCAGTTTCTTGCATATCAACATATCTCAAGCCAGCGCAAGCAGGGCCTGTCGGCACAATGGAGCTGAGTAGAAGAATTCGGCTGCAAGGGTTGTCACCTTTGCTGTGAGCTAACTGGATGTTGCATTCGCACCAACTGCTAGAGGAAGTGCTGCATCATGCTGCATCTATTTACGATTCACAATGCCGATAGCCGATAGTCAATATAATATATATATTATATATATATAATATACGTCGCTAGTTCTACTTCCCACGTTTCTACATCCATACAATTTCCTCCCAAACTTCCTGTGATCAACTTCAATATATTTCAGTTCTGAATTTCTTCTACCTTTAGGCACGGTACTGCAGCGTCCAGCCAGGCTGTGAGGCGCCGGATAAGGTCACAGTCTCCACGATCCTGGCAATGCTTTGGACATTTTTGACAAGAGAAAGCAAAATGAAACCGATAAAATGCGATAAAGCAATAGGCAAGATCGAGATCAGCTGAAAGCAAAAGAAAATGAGAACTTGGGATCACAGGTTGATTGTTACCAAAGCAACTTCAGAAGGGACTGCTAATCAGAAGTGTCACATACAGGACATCCCAAACACACACTGTTGTTCCACTGGCTCAAAAGATCGGGGGTCATGACTGGGCCGACTGCTCCTTGTCTAGGACCCCAATTATGAACATGTCATCGTCCAGCATCACTTGCTTTAGGATGGCCTCATCTGTACACGCGAATCTCATTGGTGTTCAAATATTTGAACAGACCGACTGTGCAAATAATGCCAGCTGCAAATATCCAGAGTCTAAGTCCATCGAGTCCATCAAGTCCATCAAGTCCATAACCATGCCACTGCTTGTTGCAAAGAGAAGTTCGCCGGCGGTCATCCTGAAACCGAAGTTGCCCATAATGAGAAGTAGAGAGAAGCAAAGCATTGCAAAGCCGAGAAGGGTTCTAACATGTTCTAGCTGGCTCACAGGACTATCGCTTGCAAAGAAGTGCAAATCTCAGCAGAAATTCTGGCCCGTCAGCCTGTCGGAACCTGCCAGACAACAAACACCTTGGCAGCACGCAGTTCTGCCTATCCCTTCACAAGTCTTACGCGGTATGTATGTGTATTGTGCATGCATGTGTATCTGCGCATACAACAACAGAATGGCATAGTATCTTCACAAAGATTAGTAAAGCGTTGCCGTTGTAGGTACATTACTTGATCTAGAAATATTTGCAAAACCTTGTTTAGCCGAAAAATAGACTATGGGAAGAATCGTCCAGTTGTTCGACACTTGCTACACCTCAAAACTCACTTTTAGACACAGCTGAAAAAGGAAAAAGAGGGAAAATGAAGCGAATCCAGCATGAAAAAATAGAAAGTACGAACGTGGATCCATAGCATATCCCGAATACAGGTAAACAAATGTAAACAGAATATTGAATGGAGCACTGTTTCAAGACCACTCCGCTCCGAACACCCTTGACAGAGTGCTGAAAGCAGTTGAAATCTTCAAGTGTCAGCTGATTTCAGCTTGAGTCGATCAGCCTATCAGACAGCATCGTGATAGCATCTATGCGGCCCTAAACAACGCACCAGTCCTCTGGAAACGCGCCGCCAGAAGGTTAGCTTACCCTGTAATAGCATTCTGAAGTTTTTTCATGTTTTTTCCTCCACGCCTGCCATTCAAGAGTAATTTCATTGCCAAGGCCATTCGTAATCCTTTTGGATATCAAAGAAGGCTTTTTCAAGATACAGCGGATGTTACAATGTGGCATCAAGCGCGTCCTGGAAGTTATTTGAAAATATTGAAAAATGTGTCAACGTAGGATCAAGAGCGCCTTGGAAGTTACTTGAAAAGGATGTTACAACGAAGCATCAAGGGCCTCTTGGAAGTTACTTGAAAAGGATGTCACAGCGTTTGAAAAGGATGTTGCAACGCAGCATCAAGAGCGTCTTGGAAGCTACCTGAAAAGAATGTCACAACGTTTGATAACGATGTTACAACGCAGCAGCAAGAGCGTCTTGGAAGTTAATTGAAAGGAATGTCACAACGTTTGAAAAGGATGTTACAACGTAGCATCAAGAGCGTCTTGGAAGTTACTGGAAAGAGGATGCTGCAACGTAGCATCAGGAGCAGTTTGCAAGTTCTTGGACAAACTTAGAAAGTTCAGTTACTTGACAAAGTTCAGAACATGTAAGGACGTAAGGCAGAAGAACGTTATCCCCCCAACCCCCCTCTCAAAAACGTGACACGCGTGGCTCAAAATGATGATAAATATAAATAAATATATATATATATAAATTACTGTTATAGGGGGGAATGGATCGCCCTGTCCACAGGGGACTGGGGCCATAAACAAAGCTCTATTTATTCTGTGAAGCAGAATCATACTCCCCGTGATCCATCAATGTCCAACCTCCACCCACGCAGAACATTAAGGCCCGTCGATGGGAGTTTTGCCATGCAAAAGCCGTCAATCAAAAACAAACTGGCAGACGACATCTATATATGTCTTTTGGTCAGTCATTCTCTTCTTGTTAAAAATCCTTTCAAGAGCTGTCAAATGTGGAGAGTTTCGCCTGGATTTGGGATTCCTGACTTTCCCAGCTAGTAAATGCCTCTCGAAAATCTCACAAACATGGTTGGGTCGGGATGGGTCGGGTTCATCTGTTTTTACTTTCCAATCACATTTATAGTCTACATCTCAGACCCATATTCCCACTATCAATTTCGGGAATTTCCAACTGTGTCTGGCGGTCTGGAGGGATCTGAATATTCCATAATAAATATTCCAACTCACCTCAATTCCTGCAACTCAGGTTGGTCAATATAAAATCCGCACCCTCGTCTTTGAATTTTAATCAGTTTATCTACTTCAGGATCACCATGTCTCTACTACCGCTGACTGACATTGCGGAGTGAAAAGATCTTTGCGTCCGTGTAAGACAATAATGAACCCCCCAATGCACATATGTGCTATGCATTTAATTATTGCACAATGAATGGGTGCGCAGAGCCACCAACACCCAACAAGGGTTTGGACCTATGGTTGCTATAAGCTTTTGTTTTTGTTGGTTGTTTTCCCCTTGAGACCGTGTTACCAAACGCTCTCCCGAAACGTCTCGGGTGCAATCTTATTGAAGCGAAAAAAATAGCATATGTTTTTTCCCAACATTGACGTGTGGGGTTTTTGTTTTTAGTTCTGTATCCGCTCCTTCCTCCTCCTCCTCCCGCCCTCCTCCTCCCTCACCACTCACATCCATACTATCACACATCAAACTCATACATCCCTCACTCACTCGCACTCACTCACTCACCCACTCACTCACTCACTCACTCCCTCGCTCGCTCGCTCACTCACTCACCCACTCACTCACTCACTCACTCACTCACTCACTCACCCCCACCCACCCACCCCCACCCACCCACCCACGCACTCACTCACTCACTCACTCACTCACTCACTCACTCACTCACTCATGATTTCCCTTCATCAGTCCATCAGTCATCAATCCGGCGGACTTTTTATCAGTCAGTATGGACGAGCGAGCAGGGAAGCAAGGAATGAATGAAGGAGCATAGTATCGCACGTATGGCAATGCGTAGCAGTAGCATTGAATGGCACCAAAAGAAAGCGATGCTTGGAAAAGTTAAAAGGACAGGGATGGGTTGTGATGGCATGGAATTAAAATGCCACAGCCCGTCATCACCGCAGGGTTTGGATACTGAGAGACGTTCCCCGTCAATGCATCCACTTCTCACATCCGAGTCATCCGCGCCACATATGTAGGTGTGATGCAAATACATGCGCTGTAGCCTTTGATCATGTGATATCATGTGAATAATAATGATGAAAGGCAATATTGTATTCGTTCAGACTTGGAGGAGCAACCTAGCTGTAGAATCTGTAGAATAGAAATCGTGGCTTATTTTGTGCTGGAGGATGTACGTGCGGGTGTATGCGTAGGCAGCTGAACAGAGGAAAAGAAACAATGGATACCGGGTACCTCCTGCTGTCACCAACTTGCCTGATTATCTAAACGGGTCATGACGGATCTATACAAACTAGACGACGGATGGCCCGAGAGCGTAGAAGAGCATGTTACTTTGTTGTAAGTAGTATCAAAGACATTGTAAGTTGAAGTTTCATTGAAGATGATGCAGATGATCAGCAGAAAGGAGATAGAAATGCTATGTCAGATTTTAAGCAGAAGTAGACAAAGATAGACACAAAATTTGAGAGACCGACAGAGGCAGACAGCAAAGAAACACATACACACACACAGACGCACAAACAAAGATACAGACACAGACGCGCACACACACACAGTACACAGACAGACACCACACGCACACACACAAACAGAACACAAAGAGGAAGACACATACACGCACACACACACAGGCACAGACACACACGCACACAAAGAGGAAGACACATACACCCACACACACACACACAGGCACAGACACACACGCACACAAAGAGACAGACACGGGACGCACAAACAGACACGCAGACAGACACCAGGACACACACACACACAGCGAAGTCATCGTTGTCGTGGCCACCTCAGCAATCCGAAGGGGGATGTGTTCAAGTTTTCTGAATGAAGGCTTGTCCAACCTCCCTCGCCAAAAAACAATGGTTCGGAACTCGGCGAGAATTGCCCAGCTGCCGTCTCTGAACAGGTCATGGCGAAGATGAGAAATTGCATCCAAGCCATCGCCGCAAACAAGCTCACTGTTGGGGATCGGGTGCTGGTGCTGATTTCTGGCTCAGTGCCTTCCGAGCTGCGATACCTGCGGCATTTCAAAGAGGAGGGCGAATGCTATCGATTGGAACTGGACCCAGGCCTGCCGATCGAGTCCTTCCACGCACTGAAGGGGATTTGGACCAAGGGTCAGGAGCCCCACCGTCGGGGTCGGCGATCGAAGGGTGGAGCTGGATTGCCACTCGAACCCCTTCCAATCACAGACGAGCACCCATTAGATTGAAGAAACTCGGCTGGGCAAATGATGAATGATGATTACATTATCTTATCTCCAATATTATCTGTAGGATACTGATGAGGATGCCTTGCCGACCAAACCTGGATCATACAGTAATATTGCTGGAAAGGCTAGAGGAGTCTAAAGTTTCAATCGAACATGTCTTCAACATTCTTCAACATCTTTTGCCTTGCGTTTCATTTGTTGTATGGTGGTTTGGTGAAAGTGCAGTGTCCAGAAATTTGCATGAAACTCAGGCCTTTGCATGACTGATTAATGTGGTGGCCCAGTCTTTCCTTTCCTTCTTTGTCAAAGGTGAGCCACGCGAACGTCCCGACCTTGTGTCCGGTCAGTTCCGGGTTCATTCACATGACGCAAGATTTTTTCTGAAACTGGACTGGGCTGACTGCAAGTGACAGCGCCGGAGCTTGATTTAAGAGTTATCAACAGTTTCTGTCCAGATTTCACTATAGTGGTGGTATGTGGTGTTTCGATAATGTTTTCAAATAAGGGCAATCATGGCGGCAGCCTGGTGTGTGTCTTATCACATATTATGTGGAAGAGCGTAACCATTTTGATTTGAATCACGCTGCGTGCAATGGCATTCCTGCGTCCCTGAGCTTCTGCACTAAATGGTCGCTCCTCAGGCAGAACTGGTACAGAACTGTTGCACACCTAAAAATGAGACAATGAACAACAACGTCGATCATGTCACATGAAAAACTCATAAAAACTTCAGCCGGATATAGCCACAGACTGACAGTTTTCCACACAGGTACTGTCTATGCATAGGTGAAACGATCTGAAGCAAAAAACTCTACAAACTTGTAGCACCATGCGAATTCTGAGCGCTGCACAACTTGTAGCGACAAGGGGGCGGTTGCAATCTTGAACCCCGGCGGTTGCAGCACATTTCGGTCAGCTCAACAGACCCTTTTACACACCGACCCTTTTATTACACACACACACACCCTTTTACACACAGACGATTTTACACACAGACCCTTTCACACACAAACCCTTTTACACACAGACGCTTTCACACACGAACCCTTTTACACACAGAAGCTTTTACACACAGAAGCTTTTACACACAGAAGCTTTTATACACAGGAGCTTTTACACACAGAAGCTTTTACACACAGAAGCTTTACACGCAGAAGCTTTTATACACAGGAGCTTTTACACACAGAAGCTTTTACACACAGACGATTTTGCACACAGAAAATTTTACACAGAGGAGCTTTTGCACACAGAAGCTTTTACACACAGACGCTTTTACACACAGACGCTTTTACACACAGACGCTTTTACACACAGACGCGTTTACACACAGACGCTTTTACACACAGAAGCTTTTTTACACACAGACACTTTTAGACACAGAAGCTTTTACACACAGACGCTTTTACACACAGACGCTTTTTACACACAGGCGGTTTTGCACACAGAAGCTTTTACGCACAGACGCTTTTACACACAGAAGCTTTTACACACAGAAGCTTTTACACACAGAAGCTTTACACACAGACGATTTTGCACACAGAAGCTTTTACACACAGACACTTTTACACACAGACGCGTTTACACACAGACGCTTTTACACACAGAAGCTTTTACACACAGACACTTTTACACACAGAAGCTTTTACACACAGACGCTTTTTACACACAGGCGGTTTTGCACACAGAAGCTTTTACGCACAGACGCTTTTACACACAGAAGCCTTTACACACAGACACTTTTACACACAGAAGCTTTTTACACGCAGACGTTTTTGCACACAGAAGCTTTTACACACACACACAGAAGCTTTTACACATAGACGCTTTTACACACAGAAGCTTTTACACACAGAAGCTTTTACAAACAGACGCTTTTACACACAGACACTTTTACACACAGATGCGTTTACACACAGACGCTTTTACACACAGAAGCTTTTACACACAGACGCTTTTACACAGATGTGAAGATGACAAGATGACACAGAAGCTTCTGATGTGAAGATGACAAGATGTGAAGATGTGAGGATGTGAAGATGTGAAGATGTGATGAGAAGATGTGAAGATGAGAAGATGTGAAGATGCGAGGATGTGAGGATGAGAAGATGACACACACACAGGCACAGACACACACGCACACAAAGAGACAGACACGGGACGCACAAACAGACACGCAGACAGACACCAGGACACACACACACACACTCACAGCGAAGTCATCGTTGTCGTGGCCACCTCAGCAATCCAAAGGGGGGTGAAGTTCGTGGCCTGCATTAGGGGACCTGCATTTGATTGCTAGAAACTTTGCAATGTGTGCTTGCATTCTTGCAATCCTAACCTGAAAAGCCGGCTTTTCAACAGTGCAGTCCACATGTGAGCAAGAACCTGCAGCATCCTGCAGCCTCATGATGTCACGTAGGCAAGTGTGACGATAAGCAATGCCATCGAACATGTTGCTGATAGATGTTCCTATATGTGCTGCTACCCACCTATAATGATCAGAAAGCAGATCGATCCATGCAACTACATGCGCAAAAGCAATCAGCAGCTTTGCTCACTGTCGACGAATTCAAAAAAGACAATTTTACACACATGCTTTTACACACAAACGCTTTTACCCATAGAAACGTTTACACACAGAAGCTTTTACCCACAGAAGATTCTACACACAACAGCTTTTACACAGACGCTTTTACACACAGAAGCTTTTACACACAGAAGCTTTTACACACAGAAGCTTTTACACACAGAAGCTTTTGCACACAGAAAATTTTACACAGAGGAGCTTTTGCACACAGAAGCTTTTACACACAGAAGCTTTTACACACAGAAGCTTTTTACACGCAGAGGCTTTTGCACACAGAAGCTTTTACACACAGGAGCTTTTACGCAGACACTTTTACACACAGACGCTTTTACACAGAGAAGCTTTGACACACAGCAAGCTTTTACACACAGAAGCTTTTACACACAGAGGTACCATTTTACCTCAGTTTTGGACGATCAAACCTCATTTCGTGTGAAAGGGTTGCGCCGGACCCGTGAAATCGCAATTTTACCTCAATCTTTTTGCGATCGAACCTCATACCGTGCGAAAGGGTTGGGATTGGACGCCAGAAACCGCAATTTTACTTCAGTTTTTGGCGATCGAACCTCATTTCGTGCGAAAGGGTTGTTGCGGACACTACAAAATCGCAATTTCACCTCAGTTTTTGGCGATCGAACCTCATTTCGCGCGAAAGGGTTGCGCTGGACGCGCGCAAATCACATTTTACTTCAGTTTTTGACGATCGAACCTCATTTCGTGCGAAAGGGTTGCGTTTTGTGCCGTCTTGTTGGCACTGCCCCGCGCCTTAAGAGAGAAATAGAAAAGAAGGAGAACGCAAGAGGGCAAGAGAGCCAGAGGGCAAGAGAGCAAGAGGGCAAGAGAGCAAGAGGGCAAGGGAGAATGTGAAGATGTGAAGATGAGAAGATGTGAAGATGTGAAGATGAGAAGATGTGAAGATGACAAGATGAGCAGATGTGAAAATGAGAAGATGTGAACATGTGAAGATGAGGAAGATGAGAAGATGTGAGGATGCGAAGATGAAAAGATGTGAAGATGAGCAGATGTGAAGATGAGAAGATGTGAAGATGAGAAGGTGTGAAGATGTGAGGATGTGAAGATGTGAAGATGAGAGGATGAAAATGTTTGACAGACCCCCACTATTAGAACCCTTCGCTCAGACGCTCTCGGGAATGATGGTAAATGCATAATGAATGAAGAATCTATAAAACTCTCGGCATCCGCTGCACACTAGCTTCAGTCCACTTTAGATGCCGGAGCTGAAGCTATTTGCATATTAGTACTGCAGCACATGGCCGAGAGCCAAGCCGTGCCAGGTCTTTTTTGGGATGTTGTGTGGACGTAGTGCAAAAAGAGAAAAACACATAACATATTATGACATGACATGTTTCAGGACAGGACTCTGCAACCAGTGGGATCGGCGGTCCCAAGTGATCAGTAGCATCACTAGCTTGGAACCGGCCACATCGGCCGCGCCGGAATCCCTCAGGGCTCCCCACCTTCTGGCATAAAGTTCCCAGCATGCGCTGAACAAATCAGAGCATCTACCGCGGCAGCTACCTGCGTTCTGATTCAGGAAAAGCAGTGGAAAAGCTCTCAAAGTTGTGCCCCTCCATAGATTCAGAAGCTCCAGTGAAGGCTGCAATCTCATGACCCCCTCATGATGTTGACACAGGTAAAGGAAGGTCTGCTAAGCACAACCGCGTTATTCATTGAACTTTGACAAGACGAAGCACAAGATCCACAGGTCGCACTACATCCGCTCCACCGGCTGCACCTCTTTGCTCAAAGATCCAGCTTCACCAAGAGATTTCAGGCCCCTTCCTAGCACCTCCAGAAGGCCCAATCAGAACACAGAAAAAGGATGAAAGAAACTTAAAGGAACAAAGTCCTCAGTTTACTGAAGCAGCACTGCGGAAGAACAGCGAACAGCAATGATCGGCAATTGGCTGAATTGAAGCCATTTGAAGCCATCAACCCAGCCAACCTCATCTGAGCAACTTGAGATTTGGTTAAATCCTGCAGGGATGCACAGATTGCGCAGTCTGAATCATTATGTTAGACTCTATATATGGATACGTATCGTACAATATCGTACAATATCGTACAATATTGTAAATGCACTTGACAAGACTGGTTGACCGTCACACAATGTCACACGCCTTGGCTGCAAA